CGACACCTTTAGAGTATTTCGTATTTTTCGGTCGAAAAGGAGTTTTTGTTAGGGCTAAAAAGTAGATATTCGTAATCAGCAGCTAAAACTCTATCAAATGATGTAAAAAAACCAAAAAAAAAAATTTCACTCGAAATTCGCTTTGAGGGCACCTTATAAAGGACAGCATTTTCGAGATGCCTGTTAAAGATCTGATTTAACAGAAAACAAGGATCAACAACGAAAATAAAATGATTTCAAAGGAGACTCTATGTAATGCTTTTTTCAAATATTTGAAAACAGTGAACTTTTGCATCTCAGTTCAGTATGATTATGTTCAACAGCGGGCGCAAATGAAGTTATACGAAACAAAACTTTAAGATACATCAGATAGCTTGACAGAAAGCGTAGGTGAGCTGGCTGAAGTAGCGCTTTTTCTCTTGACGTTAACTCTCTATAAAAATGATACATTTCAATAAAAAAAGAGGCACTTACCGCCTATACATAGTATTCTTAATGTATGGAGACTCGCCTGATGCTTGATCGATGAACCATTCAAGTAATCAATTAAAAAATCAATCGATGATGGAACAAACATGGCAATAGTAATTTGTTGATTTTCAATAAGATAGCAAATATAATTTAAATCAAGATTACCATTTGGAACTAGCATAATGATTGTGCCACCGAAATACATAGTACCGATTATTTCTTGAATATGGATATCAAAAGAACATGGAGCCATTTGCAAAACGATCGAACGAGAACCCATAATTTCCAATTGAAATATAGAATTCAAACAGGAAACAACATTTCGGTGACGAATTCGGACCTAAATAGAATAGAAAAATTCAATTTAAAAAAAACTACAACGGTCAGCATCGTGTACTATTATTTTGTTTTAAGGTACGCTTCTCTGTTGAGACGCCTACTTCACTCTTTCGATTCTCAAGTGTTTATTTTCTCACTAGCCTCATTTTTAGATTGATAATCATCATCACTTCTTTGACCGTTTTCTAATATGAAAACATTATATTTCATACTCATCTGTATCTTCTCTTAGCTTTGCACTTCAAAGAGCTTCCATGAGTTCATCAATCAATGTACTAGGGACTCAATCGAAAAATGCTTTAAACAACTTGAGTCACTTATCTTACGAGAGAATTTCGCCATCTGATTACGAACTTTTGACTCCAAATTTTGGCTATAAGTAAGTTCCAATGAGACTAAAAAAATCCCAAAACGATACATGCCCAAGAGCTACTGAACCAGAGTTATAGCCATTTTACTGCAGTAAAATGGCTATAACTCTGGTTCAAAAGTTCTTGGACATGTATCGTTTTGAGATTTTTTTTAGTCTCATTGGAACTTACTTATAGCCAAAATTTGGAGTCAAAAGCTCGTAATCAGTTGGAGAACCTCACTTCTTAGTATCGAATCCATCAAAAGTTTTTGCCCAATAAGCTTAGAGATATGGCATCAAAAACTGAATAAATTGGTTATTTAGATATTCTATTGCATGCACCGACCCAAACAAGGATTTAAGAAAGATCGATTTTGGTGTTGTATTCACTGTCGTGCAATCTTTTTAAAAGATCTCAAGCTGCATTTTACTAACGTTGTATAGCTTTTTCTCGTCTACAAAATAGTTGGAAAGAATTTGAAAAAATTTTACATTTGAGGCTAAAAGTGACGTACAGTGGTGGTTAATAAGAGAATACCAGCCCACAAATAGAACAAATCATTTTTCAATAGCTCGTTTTCATCAAAACTTTCTATACGTCAGGAATCAGGGCACCATATGAATAAAATGACAAGGATAATTTGTCTGAAAAACGAAATTTATTTCGATCTACCAGACACAGTCGAAAACCTCCGGTTTACTGCGATTCTTCTGCTTGATTTTTTTTTCATATCTCACTACATCAACATTTTTTAACTCTTCTAAATATGTCAGATTTCAGTAGAAGTCGATGCTTTAAAGATAGATAATACCACTTTAATACAAAACAATAATATAAAATTTCTATTAAAAGAGTAAAACGTGACCAACCTCTGTTTTTTATGAAAAATAGACGACATGACTCATTTCATCTGATAGAACCTCCAATGGTGTTCACAGCTATCTAATCAAAATTGAAAATTAATTGGAATCTTGCAGTATAAAATGGACTTTTTAGTCAACCTATGTTTGGCCTCTGAAGAGTATATGGCCCTAAATTCACATGAAAATGGCTTTTAGAAGCCGAAAGTAAATTGTACAGACTTGGAATTTTGTGTTCTACTAAAAACACAGTAAACATCAACTTAATATACTTTCGTGTTTCTTTGAGAATGCCAAAATAATTATAATGAATATTTTTGTCAAAATCTTGTTTGCTAAAAAATTTGTTAAGATCTTGCTAAAGGTGCTTAAAGGTACTGAACACGAAACTTTCTTGTTTTTTTTCCATCGAAGATCTTACTTCACAAGCAAGCTCATAGTCGAAAAATATTCACTACAAGTAATGTAAGGAATATTTTATGCGGGATGTTCGATCCTTTTTTTTAACGAAAAATGTTTTCAACATCTATATTAGTGACGATACCTACTGGATATGAAAACGTTCTTACCCGAATGTCAAAAGTAAGTGTTAAATTCTAACGATAGAAATTCTAGTTAAAGCTTTTTATGGACTCTTTCTTAACTACGTAAAAATATTTTCGTCAAAGAAATTTACTCACAGCTTTGGGAGCACCAGTTGAGCCACTTGTAAATATTATATAAGAAATATCATTAATATCTATTGATACGTTTGAAAGTAAACGGAAATCATCATCGCCAATCAATGATCTCCATTTTTGTTGATTTTCAATGTCAACTGTATAGAAATCATTTTCAGAAGCAAAAAAAATTGCTTTTGTTTGATCGTGAACAAGTACAACGGTTGAATGGACCTGATGAATCAGAGATAAAAGTCGCTCTCTGGGGTCACTTGGACTCAGAGGACAATATATCGCACCACACATCATAATCGAAATCATGCCAATTACCATTTCGATCGATCGTTCAACACATTGACAAACAATTTGCTGTGGTTGAACTTGATAATTTTCGATCAAATGCAACGAAAGCTGTTGTGTGTAATGAAGTAGCTCAAAATATGTTAATGATTGTACGCCAAGTACGACGGCCAGTTTTTGCCCATTCCCATTGACAATCGTTTCACTAATATTTTGATGAATACATTTGTTTTCATTTGAGGAATGAACCATTTTTTTAAAGTTTTGTGCTTTGTGAAATTACGTTTTCTGGAAAAAAGTCAGAAATAAAATGTTTAGTTCTACTTAATACATGCATCAGAAAGTTTTCAGGTTCGAGAATCCAAAAAGATCGAGGGACAGTATTATCGCGTTCAATTTATTAAATGGCCGTACATATGTCACTATTCTTTGTTCAAAGTATTCACTGACATGCATAAATCCTTTTGTTGCGTTTAGATTTTTCAATGACTGATACTGTTATCGTTTAAATGTGATTGAGGAATTTCTCAAAGCACTCGTAAATGTTTGCACATGTTATTGCTCGCTTCTTCGCAATCATTATCAAAGCATTTCAGACAGAGCCTGCAACAAGACCACTCAACTATATCCAAGCGGGTCTGATATTTTTTTAAAATTCTTTCATTTAGATAATTCAGATAAAAGGTTGAATGAAATCATGCTCAAATCAAAAATATTAAAGGTATTCGATCTCACCTATAAAAAATATGAGGTGGAACAAGAATTTTGAGCGCATTTGAGCCACAAAAACGGTTTTTCGCACTATTTTTACCTTTTCTTTCAAATGATTGATCGCTAGAAACAAGCAACATTTCAAAAAATAGAGTAAGTTCTAGGATACATAATCATTCTAATTGGCTGTTAGATAAAACTTCTTTCTGGACGGTGCTGATCTTGTGTTGCGTTCCGTGGTCATAAGAAAGACCAGTGCCATTTACTTTTGTTAATTCTAATGTCTTACATGTAGTCTTTTTTCGCCAGGCTTCTTACTTACAAATAACTGAGAAGAGTGGGAAGAAAATACTATACAATAACTTTGCAATATTTAGTAACAATAAAAGTTTGGAGTTTTTATCTGTGAAAACATTTAAAATATTTAGAGAGAGCTCTATTGTAGGAAGTCTGCTAATATGACTTTCTTTCTAAAAAAAACCTACAATTCAAAGGAAGTTGAGGTTCTAATGATCTTGCTTCCCTAATTATTGCTAAACTCAAATAATCGAAAAATCTTTGATGAGATTAAAATGCTAAATCGAATTCTTATACTTTTCTCAAATGAAATCACACAATAATAATTGCAGTAAAATCTTCCATATTTCACATCTCCATATAGCAGACACTATTCGCAGCCCTTCATGTAGGAAAACCTATCTATGGTAGGCAATAGTAAGGAGTTTGAAGATTATTTCGCGAAGACTGATTTGAAATATAGTGTGACGAATTATCCATTGATGTGGCCTAAAACTATTTTTTTCAAAGTTGATAGTTATAACTCATAATTTTTTTACTAAAAGTTGAATTAATTATAACTCGGATAGTTTTAACTGCAACAGTAAATTTTTCTTTACCATTCAGACTTACAAGTGATAGAAAGAATATATGTTTGTTCAACTAATTATAGCGAAATATCTTGTGATGAATGGTTTTTGGCAGGTCTCATTTACATAAAAACCTTTCTATAGTGGCAGTATTGACACATTTGACGACTATTGTATGATTTGTATGATCAGACACGACGGAAATGTTTCATTTTTTTATATTTGTTAAAAGCCTAAATTGAGCAACATCTCATATTCGAATTTCAATTGTAATTGCATGACATTCTTTTAACTTAAAAGGTGGGAAAAAGAGTGCTGATAAATATAATTTATTTACCAATCATCAATTTTAACGTCCAACGCGAAAAGATGAATAGGAAGAAGTAAAAACACTGTAAAGTAGAAAATAAATTTTGGAGAATAGGAATCGATATTCTAGAAAAGTTTATATGAAATGGTAGATATGAATTTCTTCTTTCTTGAAAATATGATGATATTCAAGAAAATAAAAATTCAAATTTTGATATTCTAATCAGAAAATGACATATGAACTCATATGAACTATCCTGGAAAATCGTGTTTGAATCCACAGTCGGAACATTCTCTAGGAAATAAGAAAAAATATGTTCGAACTTTTCTTTTTCAAAAGCAATATTTTTCTTTTATGTATAACTAGAAGATCTACAGTTTTATCAATGTTTATAGATCATAATAAGTTAGCTACAAACGAAGTATATAAAACAAACTTGCGTAATGTCTTATGTTGTAGAAACATCAGACAGAATTGAAAAAACCTATTTGATCAGACGTTTTATGAAAAGATGGTCGTAAATAGAGAAAAAAGTGCTTACAAAAACGGAATCGATAATGTGAACTACTAGAAATATATCTTAAAAAATTAATTGCAGAAGAAATTAAACAAGTAACACTCGTCTGTATGACTCGCCTGACCTTCAACTGCATATTCGGCCCTTTCCATTTTTTCTTCCGATCTACAGTCTTCAACACAGCTAGTATCCGATGTTCCAAAAGGGTGGGTAGGTATGTGTACCCTGACATTGACGTCAATCTCATTGTGCATAATTGTATGCGGGCTCGGATGAACATTTTGCCACAAATGCATCCAATGAAATTGATACCCTCACATTGACACTCAACAATAAATCTAAGGAACCACACTATGACGACAATATCCATATGTACCCTAAAAAAGAAGCTTATATTCAGCTTTCTGAGAGGTAATGAAGCAAAGCCCATTCGCGACACTTTCGTGAAAACGCGCCATACTCCTTAAAGTTTCTACTATAAGTTCGTTCGCTGACTGACGCATCTGCCGACAATATTGTTTACTAGAGCGTCCGCTAGAAAAATAGGACTGGCTTGAACTTCTAGCTTACAATTAATTATATTATGTCTGGTCTATAATCGGACTGCCACACTTGGAAGAAGCTCCTACTCATATTAGCCATCAGACTAGATAGGTAATTTCAATATATCCATATACATTTCGACATTTGAATCAGTATCAACAAGCAATCATTCCACCAAGGAAACTCCCGTTTATTTCATTCAAATAGCATTCCGATAGAACGAATATAAATTCTATAAATAATGTTTTCTCTCAAATGTACTATTCAAATATCGCACACTTGCAGAAAAGGCGCTCTCACACTTCATTTCAAAATATTTCTCAGTTCTTAGCAACTGCTACTCCTTATTCAAACCCGTATGACCTAGACTCTTGATGTATATTTGATGAATACCAGCAGTTTGAAGCATTCCTTCAAGGAACTTTCTAGTGCAGCGGCTAGTCGTTCGTCAGCACTCCTTCGGAACGCCACTCATAACTAGCCGCTGCTATGTTTCGTTCTATTTCTCCACGGCCCCATCCTTTTTCATTCACACTTCATCTAATGCCAAGCTCGGCTTAATTCGAAAAACCATTAGATCTATAGCATGAGAATTCTTGACTGGAATTTCTAAACCAAAGCTTTGTTGTGAACTATTTCTGATTTCTTCAATTTCATTCTGCAGCTGAAAAATCAGAGTCTTAGCGAAATACCTCATTAAGAAAATATCAGTGCAATTTTCTCAAAAACGTCTGCTTGTAAATTAAAAAAAAATTTCCGAAAAAAAATGTTTTTTTAACCTGCCACAAAAATAAGAAAGTTCATTTCTGACTGGTCGGTTTTCGACCAATGAAACCTCGGCCTAACAAATGGGCTTCAGATTCAGATTCAGGGCCCTCGGTAACCTATAGCAAAGTTCACTCAAAACGACCAAAAGTCTTAACATAAGCTAACCTCTCTGGTATGTTTTTTTGACCCCAATCAAGCAAGATAACAAACAAATGCATTTTATTTCGTATAACTCTCCCTTCAGTCGAGGGAACTGCGTGTAAAACAAAGATTTAGATTCCTTAGTAACGTTCCATCAAAAGAACAGAAGTCTTAAAATAAAAAAGTTGATTTCTGATTGGCCGGCTCCCGACCAATGAAACATCGGCCAAAGAAATGTACTTCGAATTCGGATTCAGGGCCCTCGATGGTCTATATCAAAGTTTCATCAAAACGTCGAAAAGCCTTAAGAGAGGGTCCACGAGAGGACCGATCAAGCCGGTCGCCGAAAAAATTTTGAATTTTGATTTAACTATCTAAAACGATAGGTCATCATTAGGAGTTCCTAAATCCAAAATATCAGATCTTTCTGACATTCCTACAAAACACGCCAGAGCATACAAGTGACACACCCTTCAGGACTTAGTCAAAAAATCGCATTTTTCAGTGCTCCTCGTATTTCATACTTTTCTCAGCATCCCGACATTTTTGGGAGTTTGGGGACATCTCAAAAGATGCAGAAATGTTTTCTCTACAAAATTCACTAATTCAATATATTCTACAATACTATTTACCGAGTGATAATCTCCATAGACGAAAAAAATGACGATTCCCTAAAATGGAAATTTTTTTAGAATATTTACACCAGCAGAACAGGAACATTCTCTCCCAAAATAATTTTTGTTTTTTTTCTGAAAGCCCTTGGAATTCTGTATCGTTTACGGTGTAACTCAAAAGATTGCAACCTTAGTAGCAAAAGTTAGTCCGAACCACAAATAGTGAGGGGTAGTGCACATTTCTATCAATTTGAGCCCATAATCAGAATAATACATATTTTATGTTCATCCAAACCAAAAATATGGTTTCAGATTCGTTATCAGCATAAAAGACTGAATATAGAAACGTGGTGTCTTTCAACGAAAGCTAAATCAAAAAGATACTATTATGTCCAGTACAGATAACTGAAGGATACCTTAGAGTATACTTTTATAGACCTCAGTATATCTGTCTATGAGGAGACATGAGACGAAATGCTTTACTTCATATGGAATCGCTGAAGTCTTCGCTTGAAAATTATCTATTGATGTGCCTTTAAATTTTGTACAGTTGTTGAGAGAATCGGATTTATCTTGGTCTTGACAGTAAAAACATATAAAACCGTAAAAAATGAAATCTATACGAGATGACTTTCATCATCATAACCAATTCCAATAGCAAAATGAATAAAATATTCGGAATCAGCGCAAAAAACTACGTCGGAAAACATATTTTTTAGAAAAACTTTTTTTCCATAAAAAAATCGACCCTGGAGGGGACCACGGACAAAACTTTGGAAGAA